GGAATCATAGTCCTACACGGCATAAAAAAGCTATCAAGTACTGGGATCCCATAGACCAGAAACACTTTCTTCTTGTAGTGTAAATAGTGTAAATATTATATTCAGGTTTGCTCCGGTAATCGAAAACGGCAAGATTTTTTCGTTTTCGTTTTTGAAAACGAGAAATTGGTGCTCCGGTAATCGAAAACGAAAGATTTTTTCGATTTGAAAAATGAGCACCTTTTTCTGGCCGGAATGAAAAGTAAATGGCTTTTTTTATATGAAATCAGATCTTATTTACAAAAGGAAAAAAATAGTTTACTCAGTGGTCTATTGATGTTTATTCCACAACACCATAAGATCATTCTGGCAGGTAGTTATTTAAAAAAAAATGTATTTTTGACCCCTACTCAGATTTGACAACAAAATTTTTGCCGTGTTTACCAAGTCTTCTCGTTTTGGTGATAGGTCGATAAGTTCACCGCAAAAAGTTATCGCCAAGTTTGCCATATTTTTGGTGGAACGAAACATCCAGTAAAAAAAAAAATTATAAAATACAAATGAATAAATTAATAACATTAAAGGACCGCCAAAATGGTTGTTTATAAATAATACTATTTAATGTGATTACTTAAATGGTCCAAATTAACCAAATAATTATTTGAGACCACCGGAATTAGAACTGTGAAAAGTGTGGCAGCATCTTAGATGCCTAGATGCCTTAACTCTAGCATTTTTTGCCTTTTTTTGGCTTAGAAAAAGGGCAATTGTAAATATAATAGGCAGTACTTTACGTTGTTTGCGTATTACCAAAAATTCAAGTTAGCTGCTTGAGCAGTGAGAAACGATGAGAAAACGAAACATTCCAATAGCAGAAATTTGCCGAAAACCGGAGCAGCTAAAAACGAAAACGGTTCGTTTTCGCCCAAAACGAAATCGACAAAATTTTACGATTACCGGAGCAGGCCTGATTGTATCTTAGAGATGAGGTAAACACTAAGAAGCTATCAAATATCGATAAGAAACTTGGGACTGCGATCACTATCTGGAGAGCGGCTAAGAATGACGGTACGATATTGTGTGTCTGTGTGATAGGGATGGAGTCAGAAAGATCTGGCAGGGAGAAAAAGCTCTCTCTCTTGGTTCTCTATCTCTCTCAGCGAACGAGCTTTTGTCCTCTCAGTAGCCTCAGTAGCACATGCGTAACTTACTTGCTTGAAGACAACGAAAGAGTGCGGTTGTGAAATAAATATTCTAAATTGTAATTCTAAAGTGTTATTGCTTGGTAAATTGGGCTGGCTTAATACGTTTTTGAAGTTTTAGAGTAGGAAGCAGTAAGTTTATAAACTATTCCTACATCTATCTATTATCCTCAGTTAGTAAAGGTAATCACATTTCCTCTCCGTGCAGCATTCAGTCTGTCTGAAGCACTGACAAACAAATATTATATTGTGTTCCATATCGATTTCCTCTTTAGCCGCTCCTGCATTCAATTTTCAGGATGAGCCATGCAGCTTTTATGTCTAGCTCATCATTTTGCCAACTGCTCGGTGCGGGCGGATGAAGGAAATCGTTGGGGATAAATCGTAGGGTAGAGGGTAGAGTAGCGAAACACAAAGACAAGAATGAGTGGGGATGAAGCTGGAGCTCAGGACGAACAAATTGACAAAAGAATCTGCTCCAAGGATTCGATGGCTGAATGAACATGGCTCCTTGGCCCAAACGCTTCTCCCTCTCGAGGAAGGGGAGGGGACTCGGTCGCCTGACTGAGCCGTAAACAATCAATGCAATCTCGATTTTGAGCGACGGTCCTCATCCTTCCGTCCATCAATTTCCATAATTAATCATGCTAGACACAGCGCACACAAAAGGGTTAAGCGGAGGCCTTCGGAAGGCTCTTCAGGTCAAATCAAATCGAATCGAATTGATAAGTAACAATGCGAAAGTTTCGCTTGGCAGGTGGACTCGAATGCGAATACTCTAGAAAAAGTAGATCTTTGCATTAACCCAAAACGATTGTTTTATGGGCTAGGATGGACCCTAACTGCTAATATATTAAGGCCTGCTCCGGTAATCGTAAAATTTTTTCGATTTCGTTTTGGGCGAAAACGAACCGTTTTCGTTTTAGCTGCTCCGGTTTTCGGCAAATTTCTGCTATCGGAATGTTTCGTTTTCTCATCGTTTCTCACTGCTCAAGCAGCTAACTTGTGTTGTTGGTAATAAGCAAACAACGTAAAGTACTGCCTATTATATTTACAATTGCCCTTTTTCTAAGCCAAAAAAAGGCAAAAAATGGTCGAGTTAAGCAAATCTAGGCACCTTAGATGCTGCCACACTTTTCACAGTTTTAATTCCGGTGGTCTCAAATAATTATTTGGTTAATTTGGACTATTTAAGTAGTACAATTAAATAGCATTATTTATAAACAACCATTTTGGCGGTCCTTTAAAGTTATTAATGTATTCATTTATATTTTATAAGTATTTTTAACTGGATGTTTCGTTCCACCAACAATATGGCAACCTTGGCGATAACTTTTTGCGGTGAACTTATCGACCTATCGCCAAACCGAGAAAACTGGTTGAACACGGCAAAAATTTTGTTGTCAAATCTGAGGTGGGGTCAGAAATATAAATAAATAACTACCTGCCAGAATGATCTTATGGTGTTGTGGAATAAACATCAACAGACCACTGAGTAAACTATTTTTTTCCTTTTGTAAATAAGATCTGATTTCATATAGAAAAAGCCATTTACTTTTCATTCCGGCCAGAAAAAGGTGCCCGTTTCTCAAATCGAAAAAATCTTTCGATTTCGATTACCGAAGCACCAACTTCTCGTTTTCAAAAACGAAAACGAAAAATTCTTGCCGTTTTCGATTACCGGCTGATTGTGTCGTTTTGTATAAATTGTTTTTAAACATAACCGCCACCTCAGATATTATTTAATAAAATAAATGTGCAATTATTCTCCCTTGCGTGTGTTATGTTGATCACCCGATTTATTTATTATTTGTGTTTTAATTATTCTTGTTTTTGCTTAACCTTTTGTTTATCTATTACGGGTCCACCCAAAAATATTTACACCATATGTACCATATAACCTCTAACAGCAGTCAAAGCGCCTGCGATGATTTTCCGCCCGCAGGAACTCTAGGCAAAAAAAAAAAAAACAACCACAAATTGAAAAGAGTTTGCCATGCATAAATTTCGGCTAGGCGACAAAAACAGGCGCGTTTTACGAGCGTTTTTTTTTGTTTTAATTTTTTTTAAGTTATTGTTTTTCGCCCGCCAACCTCAAGATGCGCAAAAAATATCAGCAGCGGGTTTAGGGGCGGCCGGAAAGCAGTGCATTCATGGCCATGAATTGACCCAAACTGAAAATGGCCAGCACGTTTTTGGCAAGGGTTGGTTAGGGCCAGCCGCAAAACAATCGGGTTAACGCCAGCGGGCGGGGCATGCAGACCCATGCATACATACGGCATATGGGCAGTAATGGGTTAGGACGCTTAAGGGGTTAACAGAAGTAGAGACATTGCTGCTTACGATTGGTGAGGCAGCCCCAGGCTACCCGGAGACCTCTCAGAGCTACAAAAAATACAAAAATCAAAAAGATAAATATGTAGAGTACGCAGAAAGGAACAAATCAAAGGTGGGAGGCGGTGAGTGGGCCAGGTTCGGTGAGAAACAACAGGGAATGCAGCTGGGCCTGACCATTGATTAATTAGTTTCTCCAGTCACTAAATGAGCTAAAAAAAATTCAAAATTACTGGCTCATCGGAAACACGAATCGATCTAAGTGACACCATTCCTGAAGAAGCATCAATCTTTTCCTGGGCAACATTTGTTTTTATTGTGCCAACGTTCATTGGTTAACCGTAGAGTAACCTGCCTGAACGCACTAATTTATTTACGATTTTTATACCCTTGCAGGGTACTATAATTTCAGTCAGAAGTTTGCAACGCAGTGAAGGAGACCCTTCCAACCCTATAAAGTATATATATTCTTGATCAGCATCAACAGCCGAGTCGATCTAGCCATGTCCGTCTGTCCGTCTGTCCGTCTGTCCGTCCGTCTGTCCGTTTCTACGCAAACCAGACTCTCAGTTTTAAAACTATCTGAATGAAACTTTTCATATAGTCATCTATATACTCTCACTGCTATATATGTCGGAACAGGCCGGATCGGACGACTATATCATATAGCTCCCATACAAATGATCGATAAATTTTTGGAAAAAAAATTATAACTTGGCTGTTTGTCAACATTTGTGCACCATTTTTTAGATATGGCCATTTTATTATATTTCAGAATTTCGGTAAAAATTTCATGAAAATCGGACGACTATATCTTATAGCTGCCATAGGAACGATCGGGAAATTAATAGAAAAAACATTATAATTTCGTCGTTTTTCAACCTATTTTTAGCTACTTTGAGATATAAGCTTATTTTATTTGTTCAGAATTTTGGTATAAATTTTATGAAAATCGGACAACTATATCATATAGCTGCCATATAAACCGATCGGTAGATGTAGAGAAAATGAAAAACTGGGAATGTAAAACTGTAACTGTCAAACTCTAAACAATAAGTATGGGTAAAATTTAATGAAATAATATCTGCAAGGGTATACAAACTTCGGTGTGCCGAAGTTAGCTTCCTTTCTTGTTGATGTATGAAATTGAAGATACGTTATAACTGAAACCTCAAGGCTTTGACATATAGCTGACAAAGAAGATCTAGACCGGGTTGTACGAAACTTTTTATATAAATTCAATTTAAATAGCTCGGTAGCAATAATCATCAGCTTTGGTTCAAGGGAAATATCTATATACTATTATAAGTTGTACCCTCGTTTAACTTGGAGAAACTCTTTCCACTTTCTACTTTACTAGCCCCGCTACAAGTTAAGCAATGGGTGTAGGCAAGGCGAGCAGGTGATGCACTCGTATTCGAAATCGGGGAAATGTATGCTTGGGGATGTGGTTTTCCCTACATGGACCCCATCCCGCTGGCTTACCATTTTGGGTGGTGCTGCCCTGGAAGAGGTTCCGCACATAGGTGATCAGCCGCCGGTGGAGCGGACGGTGGCGATGCCGCGATGACTTCCGGTGCGACGACGAGGACTCCTGGCCACCGCCGCCGCCCTGCTCCACGTCCTCGGGTTCCATGGTTGCCGCAGCTGATCCTGCTGCCGCCACCACCTCCCTGCCACACTGACTGGCGTCCACGATAATCTCGATGCTGCGTTGCGTGCTGGACTTCTTGAGGCCCAGCGCGGAGGTGCAACCGCTGCTGGAGGCAGCTCCTCCACCGCTGCCGGCGCCGCCGGTGGTTATGGGTCCGATCAGAGCATCTGTTACACTCGATCCGGTACCGGCAATGCTGCTCACTTGCTGCTGCCGCTCCTGCTGGTGGTGGTGCTGCTGCTGAGCCTGGTGGTGCTGTACGCGACCCGCTAGCAGTTGGTGGTGGGCGGCGCTGGAGGGCAGTTCGTTGACGGTGCCGTTGCTGTGACTTCCGCGGTATATCAACTCCGTCTCGTTGCTCACTTGGCGCAGGGCATGCAGTCCGGTGTGCGACGCACTGCTGGCCATACCGGCGGCGGAGCCACCACCTCCTCCTCCTCCTCCGCCTCCGCCTCCACTGCCATTGAGACCCGTGTAGTAGGCGCTGTTTGGTCGCTGGCTGTGCTGCACCTGTGGTCCGGCCATAGCGTATCTGGAGCCTTCGGTAGCGGAAGCAGGAGCGGGAGCGGTAGCAGACCTCTCTATCGTTAGCTTTAGTCTGTGCTAGCAGGATTTAGTGATTTTAGTAGCATGTTGGGCATTCACATGTTAGTGGGTGGCAGGGTTAGACAGAGTGCAGCAAGGCGTCGGGGCATCTGCGAGAAGCGAGTGAGATACGAACAAATAAATTAGAACTAGAAGCCACTTCATACTGTCTATGTCGACCGTACACACATAATGGCGAATGTAAGGCCTTGTGGTCTTTTTAATGTTTTGATAAAAAATGGCGAACAAATAAATTAAATTATATATTCAATTTGCCAGCAGCGTTGCATTCGGTGTTAAAGTGAGAATTTGTTGGTGTGTGTGCATGGGAATAACCCTGGACTCTAGTAAGCTTATGTAAGCCGCTCTATAATCCCATTGGATTGCCCTGGTTGCCATCAAAGGGCTGGGGATGATGCAAAAGACTAGACAATTTTCAGCAAGCGTTAGTGCAAAATTAAATTTCAATTTCTGTTCATTTTGAAAATCAGCCCATCTATTTAAAGCAATATCATTTGAATTAGCTTGGAATTGGTAATCCATAAGGGACAGTTTTTCAATACACTTCTGTCTAGTGCTCAGGATTCCTGAAATTTATCAAACAAAAACCTTGGCAGCCTGTCGGAATATTTCCGTTGCATTGACTTCTTCTTTTCCGTAAAAATAACAAACATAATGCTCTGAAATCGATTTTATAATATTTCATTTAACACAAGAGAAGGTTGAACAGAATTTCTACTCCCATAATTCCATCTACTCAAGCATCATTACTCCGCAGAAAGGCAATGGAGGTCCTTGACCAAGTTCCCGCTGGTTCCCGATGGTGAACCGTTCAACAATGAACAATGCGTGAAATCGCATTTGGTGGGTATTATTTTTAAGCGAGTTTCGCTCGCACATTTCCAAGCCGTTGTGATGGATTTCGGCTGTAGCTGCCGAGCTGTAGAACTGCATCATTAATGGTACGACGGCAACAGCAGCATCAGAAGCAGGAGCAGGAGCAGGAGCACGAGTAGGATGTGGTACCAGAACCAGGAGCTTTAGCTCCACTTCAGGGCCAGGAGCACAGTGCGTTCTGCACGCAGTCTATCCAGCGTATTGCTTTTGCAAATTCAATGAAGTACAAATTTATTATTTATTGATAGACTTATGCAAGTGCGCAACGGGAGCAGCAGCAGCAACAAGGAGCTGAGCAGTTTATGCTGGCGCCTTCGCTCCACCTCGCAGCACTGCGCTGAGGAGACCCTCGCATGCGTGGTCCTGGTTACCTCACAAAAACTCGATGCCGATGCCATTGCTTTTGCTTCCGCTCTCTTTGGCAACACCTGTTTGCAAAATGATTTATGCATTTCGCCCATTTTGCTGTCAAGGGTTCCCGTGCAACAAAACTAGCAAACAAGCCCGACTGCTGCCCACTTAATGTGATTTTCTTGTTATATGCGAGTCTCTCTCCTCTTATTTTGGAAATTCCCGCTAAGAAAAATGGAGCACTTTGCTGCCAGTTTCGTGTGCTGTTGGCCCGACACCTAACCCCTTAACAGCCGTTAGCTTGTTAAGCTCTTAAGCCACCGCTTGGTCCTTTTTTTTTGGGTATACTCATACATATACACTTGGAAACTGAACAGCCGTTTAAATATAAATTGTGCTGCACTTTATTATCATCAAATTCCAATTTCCCCAAGGTCGCCTAATTTATAGCTAACCAAAAGTCGATCGTTCGCACTGTGGCCAGGCACCCGTTTGAACAATCCAATTTTCAACTGTCAACAAATCAAGTGCAGAAACGAAGCAGCAGAGGTGGGAGCCTAATTTATTGACTTGTTGGAAAACAAAGCATAAATATCTATTAAAATGAGATTAAAATAAATTACAATTTACAGGGGAAAGCCATGATGCATGGAGCTTGGGGATGTCAAATGTATTGACTGAGAAGGAGGCATGTAGCCTGTGGCTCGCCATCATACCAGGCCCTTTCTTTCCGGCACTTGCGAGCTTCTCCCGGCTGATTCCGCGATCCTTCCTCCAGCCGAAGGTCAGGTGGCCTTCTCCATGCTTGAGCAAGCTTTGGAGTGCAGGGCAAACACTTCTCTCCTCCCTAAGAGCAGTCATGTGAACGCAGAGGGAAATTAAGTGCAAGCCGGGGCGCCTGGGAGAGGGATCCATGGCCACGACAACAAAGGGACGGACATACTTAGGCGCACTTGAGCGTGAGACTGAGGCAGTTGCCGGAGCCGGAATGCGAATCGAAGCACGGTAGAGGAAATGAAGCTGAACTTTATTATAACAATACAATAATCGTGTTCAAGCTGCAACTCAAGTCCTGATTTTTCCCGCAAATACGTAGCTTTTTGCGATTGAGAATGGAGAACAGGATATTTAGCTTAACAGCAGTTTCGCTGCGAAACCACACAAAATGTAAAGAAAACAAGTACAAATCACCTACAATGGACTCGAGATGAGCAAGCATTTAATTCGAGCCATATTCATTAATTGCTATTCCCATTTTAATACCCTTATTGATTCCGTGATTTACGACCAACGAAAGTGGTTTGAAATAGTTTCCCCAAGATTACATTAGTCGCCTGACAAGCCCCGGCCAGTTTGCCAAAAGGAGAGAGGCTTTTCTTTGAGTGCGCAACATGACGCTTAAGTAAACAACCCAGAAGACGTGCAGTCGGGATTGCGTGGCATTCCGCACAACGACTCTGGTTACCTACCCATTATCCAGTATTCGTGGCCCCTTCGTCACGAAGCTGCAGTAAAATGTCTAGTGCACTTCCCACCTACACTGCATCCTAGATTCCGCATCCTGCTGCTCTTATACCCTTGGCAAAGTCTTCCTGGACTCCCAGTCGCACGTATCGTTGACTATGGGCAATATTCAAACAGGAAGGTAATAGGAAATTGGATTTTTGTAGACGGTATTTCACAAATATCCGGACCACAGGCACACGCAGACGCACCCACATCCACAATGGGCTTTGGGCGCGAGTCCTTTGGCCAGCGAACTTTTCTAGTCGACGCCGAGGGAATTTCCCATTAAAATATTTCATTATAACAAAATGTAATCTTCCATCGCCTTTTGTTAAGAGCTCTTCATGTGTGTGTGCTTTGTAAATGACTTGTGTTATGCTGGCGATTTATAAGCGACTTCAGCGATGGTATGTTTTCTTGTAGGGAATAAGCGTTCTTGGAAAACCTAGAAAATGAAACCAGTGGAGGGCAAAAGACACTTCAAGTTTTTCTTTATATTTCAGTCAGTTCTAATTCTACCATTTCAAATAAGATTAATATATTATTTAAATAAAATAATTCATAACAACGGTATTAAAAATATGTTCTTAAAATGCAACCCTAAGGTCTCATCTTTATACGAAATGGTATAGACACCTCTTCAGTAAATGTGGAGCTTCTTTTCTAGGTAAGTTTTCGAGCTTTTATCAGGCTTATTGCTGGGTATTAGAATTTTAGTCAGAAGTTTGCAAAGCATCAACAGCCGAGTCGATCTAGCTATGCCCGTCTGTCAATTCTACGCAAACTAGTCTCTCAGCTTTAAAGCAATCTGAATGAAACTTTGCACATAGTTTTCTGAATACTCTCACTGCTATATATGCCTGAACGGCCTGGATCGGACTACAATATCATATATCTGCCATAGAAATTATCGACAAATTTGTTAGAAAAAATATTATAACTTTGCTGTTTTTCAACAAACTATTATCCTTAAAATATGGTAATATTTCCGAATTTAAGTTTTAATTTTCTGAAACCGGACGACTATTTTTTTCTATAAATTTAACCCGAATGGATCGATTCTCAATAATCAAATTACAAACTGCAAGGGTATACAAGCTTCCTTTCTTGTTTTTAATAAAACACAGGATTAAATGAATAAAATATTGAAATATATTGAAGAACAAACTAATAAAAAATTACCTAATTCATTTTTCGAAGCAGTCTTACGTGGTTCACTCGATATCGATTAGCTGAATATTAGCTGCTCGACATAGAGAAAAAATCAAAGTTCAATAGAAAACAGTGTCAAAGTAGCCTGTAGAAACTGCGCGCACTTAAAAATGCAATCATTTTGGAAATAATCTCAATCATTCTTATAGGTATAACAAATTTTTAAAGATTACAAAATATCTACGGGTACCGCTTTTCGTTTCGAAATCTTTGGGTATTTGGCGAGACATGAAAGGACTGCATGTTGTGAGTTGACAAGTGCAGAAACTCGCATGTGGGCGAGAGTAGGTCGAAAGTGGGTCTCCAGAGGTAACAGAATGTAAAACAAATCGCCGACGGCTTTGGACGATGATGAGGTTGCTTATCGCTGTGGCGCAGAGGTAATGACACGCCTCCAGACCGTGCTACATTTACCTAACAAAACACATATGTATATGGGTATATGTGGCAGGAGCCACAGCAAAGTCGAATTTTTAATTTACGACGGAGTGAAATTAATTATAAAAGGCTTAAGTAAGTAAAAAAATGAATTAACTCTTGAGCATGGAACAGATTTTGTTTCTTCGGGAAATTCATCGAAATGTTTCTGCAGATGCCCTTAAAATTTGCCCATAAGCCGACTAAAACCCCCATGTTGGTGGGATTGAGTGGGCGAGGGCTGACAAAAATCATTCCGGCTGCCTGCCACATATATTTTTTGTGTTTTACTTATGGCACTCGGTGTTCTTTCACTTGTTACCTGATATTGCCGTTCTCGTGTTGGCTTGGCAGCCGTCAAAGTGCAAAATATGAGGCTCAAGCACCTCATCCTCTGTCCCGCTCAGCCATCCACACACAGGACACCCACACACGGCACGGGACACACATGCCTGGGAGGCTGCTCAGGGTGCACGTGAGTTGCTGCAATCTGTGGCACACTTTTCGCAACAGCGCCAGCGTCTGCTCTCCCCTGCTCGCCTCCCCCTTTGCCGGATGGGAGGATCCTGAAATAACAGCACCTGGAATGGAATGCAACCAACCGACCAAGCCAGCTAACTGTTTTCATAACCGTGGATGGATAAGGCCTGTACACTGAGAGAAGGCTGTTGTGTTTGCCTGACACTTTTCGCTTAGAGGTACAATTTTTAACTACTAAGAGATCCTG